CTCACCAAACGCGACGCAGTTCATCTTGAAGCTGAAATGAATCTGGTCCGGTATCCGATGAACGTCCCTCGTCCATCGTCCCTTGGGGGAAGGTCATTCGGTGAAGGGGGAAGACCGGAAAGTCTGCTTCGAGAAAGGAAACCATAAAAAGCGTGATAAAGGATGAGTGGAAAATGGAACGTGGAGTGACTGGCCGTCCGGCCCTATCTCGCGCCCCTTTCCACTGCGTACAGAGACACGGGCATGGATTGGAGTGTGGTGAACGTGAACGTGCTGGAAGCGCGGTGAACGTGCTGGAAGCGCGGTGAACGTGCTGGAAGCGCGGTGAACGTGCTGGAAGCGCGGTGAACGTGCTGGAAGCGCGGTGAACGTGCTGGAAGCGCGGTGAACGTGGCGTATCAACGCGTCTCTTGATGCTTCTTAAATGCGTGAGGCTCGCCTGGTGTCCGATTATAGAAAATGTTCTATTCTTAATTTCGTGGGAAAATAATGAGATTGGAATAGATTTTTCTTCTGTACGTAAGTGATTCGTTGTAAATTGCGGACGACCACGTGAATGTCTCTGCGCACTGGTGGTTTCGCTTCTTTCACCAGCCAGACCTCGTCGAGATGGCTCGTAAACCCTAAGATCGGCCATTATGGGCCTAATTGGCGTTGTTGAGTGCTCGACCCTTTCCGGCGACAGAATTCAATCGCCTCGTATTCCTCTCTGAGAGCATCAACAGAAACGAAATCGCGCCTGTTTCCTCCTCTCGGCTCCAGCAAGTTCGAAGCTCCATCTCCCATATTAAGGTTAAGGCGAAATCTCGCTTTTCGGGGATGCGAGTTTTAATCCCATTATTCTTTCTTTTTTTTCTCCCCGTCCCCTGGTAAGTTTGTGGAGGAAAGACCTCATCCAAACGAAGGATATTGGCTTACTAGCTCACTATTGGCTATTGACGCGCCTTCGGCGTTCTGCGACCTAAGGAAATTACTAATGCATTTCAGTGTCGTTGCTCACCCCTAGAAATGCGGTGAAACTCCTTTGCTCACGGGTTCAATTCCCACACCTTTGGCTCTGACACCCTAAAAAAGGTGCCTTAGAACATATTCTTGGTAACGCTATGTGACTTGTAGCAAGAGGATCACAAAGTAACATTTGTCAGTGCGTCGTTTAGTGTTCTATTGGTGTATCCATTTCCTGCTTATGATCGACACACTCTTGATAACATATCAACCTCTAAAAAAGTAGAAGTGAGTAATAGGAGCCACATGAATCACGAGAGTTTCACATGAATCACATGAATCATGAGAGTTTTAACGCAATAACTCTTTATAGACTACGTTCACTGTCCTTTCATTATCGTCATGTCTATATTTAGGGACAAGTACATTTATGGAATCCCTTTTTCTAACTCTACTTGATGCTACATACAGTTGTTCAAGAGAAAATACGTCATTCGCGAAGACAGTTTATTGCTATTTACGTTCCTGCTTACTTGAAGCGTGAGCACAGAAGTGGCATTAGTCTGAGCGTCCTGCATTGGACAGACAAATGGACAATCACTCCAAATCGGAATGTCCAGGGAAAATCTTCCCTGCCGTTTCCCTGCTACAAAAATATATGGAACCAATTCGCATCCAGAAGCATATCGGTCCGCTTCAACCCAAGTCCTTCTACCGAGCCTACGACCTAGAAAGGCATAGGGCAAATACCTCGCGCGGCATGCTAAGGCAGCAATTTTACCGTTTAAATATGCCGAAACGGTCCTCTAAATCAATGGGTCGAGATCGATGTAGACCTGAGCGTCCGTGCAGGAGTTAGATATGGGCCTGCTGAATCAGTCACTTTAAGGTACGTACATCCAATGTCGAACTGTTACCTGTAGTATGAGTGCCAACAGCTCTTGGCTTTCCATTCCGCTCCCTTTGAAAAACATAGAGTCCATGAGAATGGTATTAGCCTAAGCGTCCTTCCAATGGGTTAGGCCGAAATCAGCTCCGCCCCACTGAAAATTGTCCCCAGGGCATGTACCCCCCCCCCTCCCTCCCAAAGTCGGAATTCCTCCCGAGTGAACAACCTAACAGTCACACACACTTCCTTCAATGACAGGGGAAGGGATGTGTACATGAGAATGGCGTAGGCGTAAACCTCCGTCTGCCGTCTGGGGCGGCTGTTCCTAGGCTTGCCAAATCAGTCCCCCCTAAATGTCTCCCAGGGAATGTACCTCCAAAGTTGGATTTTTTCTGAACTATGCATCCCTATAGCTACTTGTGTACCAAGTTTCAGATTTCTAACTTCTCTAGAACATGGTTAGAATTAGCGTTAGTCAGTCACGATCGTCTATATATATTAGATAGGCGACAAAAAGCGTTTTTTTTTCTTCCAGTTCGCCATTTCGACATAAAAAATAACAAGAGGCCGTTAAGGCATCTAATCATAGTGCCATGTATTTTGATTCAGGGGGGTTAGAGATCCTTTCAAAATCATTTTAAAATCTCTGTTATCTTTGGAAAGAAGGTTGAAGACACTGCTTGCGGGGGTAGAGACCGTCGACTTGGCTCCTCTCCGAGCCAGCTTCTAGTCTGTCTGGGGTGAGAAATGGCAAGAAATTTCTTCCGCCCGACCTGGCCGTGTGAGTCTCACTGGGATGGAATTGCGCATGGGATTGCCACTCGTTTCTTCGGCGAGGCGATGTCGTGGACGTTTCCTCGTTGGAGGGAAATCCGTTCGTCTGAAGTCCAAGGGATTTTTCCGATTTTCGTTTTTAATATCCGTCATGAACATCAGAAAGGCCACAGTGGCACTCTTTCCGTAAGAGTGGGTTCACTTGTTACTAACAGGTGAAAGTTGGCAGGAAAGGGCCTTGAAGGAAAATGCGCTAATAAATGAAACGTTCGAACGATGGATACCGTTCCACGTGCTTAGTCGTGGAAGAAAAAAGGGATTTCCTAACTTGCAAAAAAAAAAGCCGCCATAAAAAGATGGATTTCCCCTATTTTTGCCCCATTTCGAGCCTATTCTGCGAAGAGACGCGGAAACAAAACAGCTCCACTGGTAGAAATTCGAAAGTCGTCCTTGTTTTTTTTTGCGTTTCTGATTTGTTCCCTGCTTTCCCTACGTTTGAAGCCCTGATGGGTTTTAGCGAAAAAAAAATTTCTTCCGAAATGGAGACTCAAGGAACTCCATGCCATCCAGTTTCAGCCTTATACGTTTCCCCTTTTTGAATTAGCGTCAGTCAGTCAGGATCGTCTATATATATTAGAAAAGTAGAATTTTTTCTTTACGCAGTTATCCATCAGGTACTTATTTGCCAAGTTTTTTTTTTTACTTTCATGCGCCCTCTGTTTTGCTGGATCAGAAAATTCGTGAAGACACGCCTTTTTCAAAATATGTGCCCTGAGCCTTTTTAACCGAAACGTACTATTTACGGAAACGTACCGAAATACATCCTCAGTGAACTACATGCCCACAACGTTTCAATGTTATACGTTTGCCCTTTTCGCTGGTGAAAAAACATGTTTGCAAAAGCCGACCCACCCTAACGCTATGCCTGGATGCGAATTGGTTCCATATATTTTTGTAGCAGGGAAACGGCAGGGAAGATTTTCCCTGGACATTCCGATTTGGAGTGATTGTCCATTTGTCTGTCCANATATCATGTCACTTATACATGTGCCAAGTTTCACCTTTCCATTTCTGTCCAATTCGCCACAACAGTTTTTTTTTTCAAAGCATCGCCCCTCGAAAAATTTCCCCCAGGGGATGTATCGAGACTTAACATTTTTATTTAACTCTTTGTCTCAGTAGTCAAATTTATGCAAAGTTGCAGCTTTCCATGTTCATCAGTTTAACTGCAAAAAATTTAGTTGAAAACATCACCCTTTGAAATTTGTGCCCCCAGGGCATTTACTTCTAAAGTCTGAAGTTTTCTGCAGCGTCCCAATAGGTAGTTATGTACCAAGTTTCATCTTTGAACACTACCTCAATACACCAGGACAAAAAAATACTTGAAAACGTAGGCTCACAAAAATATGCCCCCAGGGCATGGATCTAAAATTTTTCTTGTGTCCTGAACTCATCGCCTTGGTAGGCACGTCCACGCCAAGTTTCAGCTTTCCATGTCTCTCCGTTTCACTGAAGCAAAAATAATTTTACGGAGGGGGAATGAGTAACGGGAAATGGAAGGCAAAAGAGCCAAGTAATGGCCGGGATTAGAACCCGGACCGTATGATTGCCGGTCAGAGATGCTACTATTACACCACCGAATCCGGGACATCTCCTTGACTCACTGAATGCCATCCTCATCTGTCACAAAATACATGTAAGAAAAACTTCCCCCCCAAAATGTGTACCCCCAGGGCATGTACCTCCAAAGTGGGATTTTTTTTCTGAACTCTGCATCCCAAAAGGTATATGTGTACCAAGTTTCAGATTCCTTACCCTTCTAGAACATGGTTAGAATTAGCGTCATTCAGTCACTCACGATCGTCTATGTATATTAGATTCGGTGGAACGCAGTATTCGTTGCTCAGGTCAGGATCCGATCATTTATTCCCCGGAAACAGATGTAATCGCCTGAAATAGTGTGATCGAGATTGACATGAGGAACGTGTTGGGATGGGGAAGACGGACTGGCTATGAGAACCTATAAACAAATCATTAATAAAAATGCTGCAAAATCATGAAAATTTATAATTAAATGATCATATAATACAAAACGAGTATAATGTCTTCTTTCATGAAAAAAATCATGTAAAATATTCCATCAACAAATAAAAAATTTTGTAATATAGGTTTAGTTCAAGACATGTTAGCCTAAATTTCGAATTGAAACCTCACAGATGCATTCGATTTTCCTACTTTCTGCATTTGACTTGCAAAACTCACTGCAGGAATTAATACGATTTCTTGCCATCTCATGAGTAGACGAGTGAAAAGAAAATTGCATTTTACTCCCAGAGGAGTACGAATGTATCCGGGGTCGAAAAGATGAATTAGTGCAGAATGCATTGGAATTCATTGCAGGTGCTGTCCAAGGGCTTTCTGTCTTTCCAGGCAGTTCGCCTGTCGCGTCGGCCGGGATCGGATGGTCCGATGTTTTCCTTGAATCATCGTGACTGCGGTCGGGGATGGGGTGGAAGATGGTGATTTTGTGCTGCGTCTGTGTCCTCTTGCTGGCAGCGGGATTCTCTCATGCCGAAAGAGAGGTGACGGAGGTGAGGCGAGTCCTCGTCCAGAAATGTTGTCCTTTGGACGAAGGCTATGAACTGTTTCTGAGAAAGTGCAACGCCTGTCCCGTCGAGTGGAACCTCCCGGTTTTCAATCAAAATATGAGCGAGATTCACAATTTGTCAAGAGAATACCGGCGTCGGATCGACGACATGGCTTCTATTCCTTGTGGCAATGATGTCTTGTCTCCAAGTACGAACGACGATCCTTGGGAGGAATACTATACTGTCCAAGACATGGGGTATCTCTACGTCCCAGATGTGAATTTAACAACATCAAATGGACTTTCCTGCTCTGAGCATGTTCACTGGGAGAGATCCTGGATAAATGTGACGAAGTTTTGTCACTCTACGGAGATGATCCCAGACTGCACTGGGAAGGTTTGCGTCCAGAAGTGCTGCCACGAGACGGAAATGTTGTACGAGTCTCGGGGTTGGTATCAATGCGGGCCTGCTGAAGGAACATGGCATTTCAGAGAACTTCTCCGCACATATCTCCATTCTGATGAAGACATCCACTTGTCCACGGGTTTTCCCATTTGTCCGCATCTTTCCGCTTTCGTCATCCCATTGATGTCGATAATGGAACGTAGTTTCTCTCTGACTCGGAGCGGAGGATTGATCCAGACTGGAAGGCACACATTCGGTGACGAGGTCGTCCGCATTCCCAGGTATTGCATCGACGAATGCAGGAACTGCACTTCATTTCTGGAACCCATAGCCCTAATCTGTCCTCCGACTCGGATGGTCTCCCTGGAACTACCTCCACTCCCTACCAAGATCGTGTTAATGCTAGTGTCCACCATGATATTGATCATTACTTTTCTCCTAAGTTGCGGTTCCTTGAAACGGAAAAAGTTTTCTGGAGGTACTCGTCTTTTCTACCTCACCTGTTTCCTGGTTTCATACATTTTCTTATTTGCCGCTGAAATTTGCCTCTCCTTTGGCGTCTCCAATGCCTTCTGCCCTGCATCAGGTATATATATCTTTTGTATCATCGATTCATATAATCGATTCATTCACATGTTCCGCAATAATACTTTCTCCTTTGAATCTTGCAGTGCTGGCTTACCACTACGGGTTCATGTCCGTATTCGCATGGCTCAGTGCCATGAGCTATGACATCTGGCGGAACGTGAAGTGAGTCAGAACTGGAGACGGAATGGACTGGTCTTGGCTATCTGTTTTCTCGGCGAAGCATCAATCATGATTTACTCCATTGTCTCTTTCGAAACAGTTACCTGAGGATGGATTCGCAAGACAGGAGCAGGAAGAAGCTGATTTACTACAGCTTGTTTGCATTCGGGTTCCCGGCGAGCATCTTTACAATGGCGTACGCCATGGAAGTCGCTCCGGGCATCCATCCGCACTCCATCAGGCTGGGATTAAAATCTCTCACGAGAAATGAATATTGCAGGTTCCCTGGTACGAGTCCAATTTATTCGTCGATGAAATCAATCAGAGCATAATGGTCCTGCGGATACACTTGACTTAAACTTTTCTGAAGATATTGATCTCAAAATGAGGTTGAAAGTATTCTACTGTATTTGCCTCCGTCCTCGAAGATCCTGTCGGTGTGAAGCTTTTTTTGGACTTGCCGTTCGTCTTGCTGTTGGTGGCAGATACTATTTTCTTCGTGCTCACGAGTCGTTTCTTCGCTCGCCATTGCAAGGACACTGCAGATCTCCATCGAAACCAAAAGCATAGGCGGAAGTGAGTACCATCGTTTCCTTCATTCCGATTATTCTTTCATCTTGGGGTGTCATCTCACATCATGAAGCTATGGGATTCAATTGGGAAATCTTCCAAGGAACCTTTCTTTCACGTTTCCCAGGCTGAGTCTGTAAAGTTCTTAGGTCCCTCATTGTTGGACGATGCTTAATAGTAGGCATTCTGAACAAAACCTTATTCGCAGCGACATCACTCTTTTGGAAGTTTATTGAAAATTGTGCATCTCTTTAGAAGCCAGACTAAGGACAGGCATAAATGAACAGATTCATGTTTTTAATGACCTCTTCGCTAAAACCTTTGTTATACTTAATGACTTCTCACTCTAGGTTTTGGATGTATGCAAAGTTGTTCGTGCTGATGGGCGGGAACTGGGTCATCATGGTGGTAATCGATTCGGTCCGGCGAGCGAAGCTGGATCTCTCCGAAAACGCGAAATTCGCTTTGATGTGCCTCCACTACACTCTGCTGAACCTGCAGACCGTCTTCGTCTTCTTCATCTTCGCGTGCAGTGGAGACGCCGCGCGACAAAGGATGAAGAATGCGTGGGAGTGGATGCGCGGGTGTCCCCGCGTGGGAGGGACTCCCGGGTCGTCCACAGCATCCTCCAACGTGGAGAAGCAGTTGGGGAACGTCGAAGCGGACCCCAGAGTTGCTTAGGGATGTCTCTCGCTTTCGGCTGCGTGCGGGTGACTCAGTGGTGAATGCCACCGTCCGCCTCGGCCTTCATTACTGTTCAGCTTAATTGCCATTCCGGAATACGGAAAAAAAAAGTTCTCTGGTGGGACCCTTCTTTTCTACCTCGCCTGCACCCTGCTTTCCAGGTCTGTCGTTGGCATTTGCCTCGCCTATGGCGTCGACAACGCTTTCTGTCACACCTATACCTATGGTAACAAACTTTTCTACTTCCTAACTTTTTACAAAGGATTTGTCCGTATTCTAGGCATGCATTAAACGCTCTCTGCATTTGCTAGTTAATTTCTATTTGTACTTTTTAGTTTCATTACATGACCCACTTGGAGTTTCTCCATGTTATATTAGGCTGTTTGTCATAAAAATGCGAATGTTGGTGTATTAATAAAGAAAATGTTATTTTTAGTATTGGCTTCAACAAATAAATTCCTCTGCGCTTGGAAATATTCTGATCGCGGAAGGCGCAAGATCATAATATATTTACGATATATCGGAGATCAAGGAGTCCAAAGGATTAATAGCGATTCAAGTTTTTTTAAATTCCAATTTTTTTTTCCCGTAGTTCATCTTAGAGTCATTTGAACGGGTAACAGAATCACGTAACCTGCTATGAAGCTGTTCTGTCTTTTTTTATTGCTATTGTACTTTGGGCTGCGTTTTAATGGAACACCCTTGCATTTCATTTGCCTTTGAAGGGAACTCAATGGCGAGAAATGACTCAATGACTCATCATGTGGGTCATCTCGTCGAATCCGCCTTAGCAGCCCATCGTCATGAGTCGATGCCTATGCGTCACGAATCCGTTTTTTCCTATATCTCTTGACATGAATCTGACGCAGGAGACAAGTTAAGTGGAAAAACGGCTGAGGCCTCTCCGAAATTGACTTCCTCGCAGGCACCAATAATCATCATTAATCAATAAATCTTGCAGGAGAATGGTGCTCCCATCTGGATCTGCAAAATGATCGAACTTTTTATGAGTTACTTGACATTGTCGAATATTTTTTTTTAGAGACCATGCGAAAATCTAAAGAAACATTTTTTGTCATACATTTTTGGCTAAACAAATTTTTTTTTTATTTCGGCAAAATGTCTGACCTCATTTCCGAAGAGATCCATGTACATCATTCTGTCATCTGAGTATTGTCTGAAGAACTTTATTCTGGGCTTTGTTTCCGGCCGAGAGTCGGTGCAGAGCCCAAGCGCCTCTTCTTCCCAATCTGTTGAAGGTGTTCTTTGAACAGAAGACCACGAAGAATCCGGCCGAATAATCCACGAATAATCCACGGATAATCAGTCTGACTCTGCCTCCGACCTCAGGAGATCATTGTCCAGCCCTACCGGCCTTCCCGGACGATGGCCAGTATGGCCGGATGGCCGGATGGCCGGAGATCAACACCACCTGACGGGAATTTACTGAACCAATGATGGCATTTGCGGACATCTGAAGCATCGCCTTGAACACCGCAAATGCCTTTTGTGGCCTCCGTTGCCTTACTTCCTTTACGAAACTGACAGAAACTGACAATGTCGCATATGGATCTCTTCAGGAATGTGGGAAAATATTTTACAAGAATCAATAAATGAAATTCATTTGAAAAGAAAGGAAGACGCACCATACATAACGTTTACATTAGGTTTACAAAAAATACATAACTTTCTGGTACTCCTAATATTTTATCCGTCATGATTATTAATGAAAACGGGTGATTTCACCCCCAAACCAGAGGTCCTTTGTATATAAGCGTTTTTGTATTCAATGGAAAATACAGGGTCATCAGAAAAAGACGCTCCAGTTTTCATTACCTATATTTCCAGAAACTACATTGTCAACAACCTCATATGTGGTATCATTCGACACGTCAGGCTTGGGAATTTTGTATCGTACAATGGAGTCCTAGTGCTAATTTCGAGAAACAGTAGGAAACAAGATATCGTATATCACAGAGCATATTGGTAATGTGAAGGACAATAAGAAGGAATATCACGGTCGAAGAATTGAAGGCGGAAATCAGAACTGTCGCGGAAAGCCGATTAATAGTGTTTGTTGATTAATATCAGGAAACACTATTCGCGGTAATGGAAAACATCGGTGAACGCTTGCAGAGAATGATGGATGCTAGAGGCTCCCACATTCAAAAATGTGTTTTCGTAAAATTAAAAACTCCCAAACATCCTGTGTTTTGTAAGCTATAATTCCAGATTCTGTGTGTATTATTTTAGAAAATACTTGTAATAAAAACTAGAGCGTCTTTTTCTGATGACCCTGTATATAGATTAACCTGTGCTCACACCAGACACATACGAATGAAGAAAAACGATTGGTGTGAATGAGACTTCGGGGCTCGGTACATGAATATTTCCGAAAACGCAGAAAACGAGACGGGTTAGAGATTTCGCGTCGAGGTTGGCACGGTGAGGGAACCAGCCAAGCAAATCCGACGGCATGGCACAATCCCGGTTCCAATCTTTCAGAGTGGGATCGGAAGCCGCGCAACCGCTGACGATTCTTCTCGACTGAGTCAACCTCGAAGGGATCCCTGACGTCTTTATTGAAAGTGAGCATCCGACATGGTTTCCATAGATGAAGGTCTTTTCCGGCAAATAGGTAAGGCCTCTCTATCTTTGAGTTCCTCCTCAGGGATCTAATGAAATTCTGAGGGGGGGGGGGGGGGGGGGAAATTTTAGACCCTCAGAGCGCATATTGTTAAATACCTTTCTTAAACCTCTTCCCGTAAGAAAATGCAAGTTGCTCGTATTTCTCTCTAAAAGCATCAATAGTAACGAAATTAGACATTCTTCATCCTCTCTCAAAAATGAATCATTCAAGTAAATTTGTAGGTCCATCTCTCCAAAGGCTGTCAAGAACATGGATGAACTGACTGTCGAGTCATACGATCGAGGAGCATCCGGAAGGTCATCGAGTCCTCGAAGAGGAGGGTGGGGGGGGGGGGGGACATTTAGAAGGAAGGATGCCCGACGATATCAGGTCTGGGACTGGAGCCCAAAACAAGGAAAACAATTTTTTAATGGTTTTCGCATCTTGAGTGGAGGTTGTTGTGGGTCAGCGTCCGTCGGGAGATGAAGACCGCATCCAACCGCAGCCTCACTCGAGATAATCAACGTCTGTAGGCAAAATCTCTTTCCCCAGAACTCGTTTGCGATTGATAAAAACGAGGCTTGGGAGCTATGCTGGAAAATATTTCCAGAAATTGCTGATAAAGAGGTCGGATGGGATTCTCCGATGCATCAACAAAGCTGGATTTCCAATCTACTCGAGCGGGACTCGAGACGCCATCAGGAGAAATTCCTTTCAAGGGCGTCAGCTTCGTAGCGATCCGTTTGTTGCGTAATAGTGACGTCTTCCTTGAAAGTTGAAGTCCGCAATAACAAAATTTCGTGGTTCGAGAAAAGCAAGCAGATGTGGAGCCATAAAAGGAACGTGTTTCCGCTCTGGCCTTTTCCACGTATTTACAATCTCATTCGAAGGATGTATCCACGAACTATCTCACGATGTACGTGTATATTCGCCATCCAGAGACCATTTTTTAACAATGTCCCCGAGGAATGGGATGCATATGTCACATCTCCGAACCAGCTCCCTTATGCCGACGACATGTAACTCTTTTGGGTTGGCACAAAGCGACGCTCGGACAGCCTCCCAGACATCTTCGAGCCGCGCGAAGAGCTTGTCGCATAGGACCCCCTTCAGGGATCCAAACAGGTGGTAGTCCGATTGGACAAGATCTGGGCTGTACGGTTTGTGTGGTCGAACCTCCCACTTCCGTTGGTGCTGGCAACTTGAGTGGGAGTATTCTCATATACCCTGGACGGTATTTAGTTCTAATTTCAGACCTTTAGGAATTCTAGTTATTTTTAAAGAAAAATTTCCCGAAATGTTTGAGAGCCCCTGGTACATGGAAATTTAATAAACTGCTATGCATGCATCACAAAGACTAAAAGTAACCACATTCAAATAGGCACTATTAGATTGTGACACTACCAACTTACACAATTGTCATTCAAAAACTAATGATCCAAGGTAAGCAGGTAACGAACTCTTGGTCACCCTTCCTGGGTCCTTTAAATTATGTGGATTAGGAACGAATGAAGCATGCTTCGAACGCCGGACCTGTCTCCGCTGCGATGCCCATATTCAAAGCACTCCATCTCGAGGACACAAGGTGACAAAAACGAGTATTCAAGCCCTCCTTCCTGATTCGCATACCCGATGAGCGCGAAGGCCATACTGGGAGGGAGAGCGGGAGAGAGGAAAGAGCGAGAGTGAGTCTCCTCACCAGTAAGCCTCTATATCCTAAAGTGATACCGACTTGTTCACGGTCGCTCGTGAAGTGGAAAAAGTTGTTTGGTTCCTCATCTACGGCGCAGAACAGCTTGCTTGCGTTACGTGTCCGGTACTAGAGGACTCTACGACCTTCACGTATTTATTTACGTTCCCTCAATCTTTTAAAGAGGAATTAGGAACGATGTGCATTTGGTCTTGTCCATGTTGCTCGAGGCAGTAGCTCTATTGTTGCCTCAGGATTAAGTGCCCTCTTGCGAGGTCGTTGAGTCAGTATATTTCTTGAATTCATTTTTGTTTCTTTGCAAGAAGTTTTGCGCTATGAAGGATTTGAGTAATTGGTACAATTAATCGATTTCCGTATCGATACGAGTGCCTTTCATGAATGTAAAAAGAAGGAACTTCCTGAAATCGCAATCAGTCCTGATACAGTCAACGAGAGCCGCGAGTGAAAAGTTTTTCTTTTTTGCGAAAGGGCCACAGGAAATCGAACCAGAACAGGACCGGAACCTCTGGTCGCAAAGGGACAAGAACGGTGCAAGAACGGTGCAAGGATGATTCGCGCAACCACTTCCTGCACGAGTCGCATCTCCTGCACCAGGGAATGCGGCAACCACAGCGCGAACGAGCAAACGCCTCGCGGACGCGGGTGCGAGTACCCTCCGGCTAGGA